TTTTTTTTTTTTTTTTTTTTTTTTTTTTTTTGAGACAGAGTTTCACTCTTGTTACCCAGGCCGGAGTGCAATGGCGCAATCTCGGCTCACCGCAACCTCCGCCTCCTGGGTTCAGGCAATTCTCCTGCCTCAGCCTCCTGAGTAGCTGGGATTACAGGCACGCGCCACCATGCCCAGCTAATTTTTTGTAGTTTTAGTAGAGACGGGGTTTCACCATGTTGACCAGGATGGTCTCGATCTCTTGACCTCATGATCCACCCGCCTCGGCCTCCCAAAGTGCTGGGATTACAGGCGTGAGCCACCGGATTTTTTTTTTTCATGTGTTTAGCTCGAGCTTTGAAAGAATCTGAAATCTTATCATTTAATTTCAAATCTTCCAAAGACTGAGAGTGCATCTTTCCCTGTCCCGCACAGTGCCTAGTTTTCACTTCTTGTCTCACAGTATATTAACCAACTGCCACAAAGCCTGATGTGTGCCACACAACTAAACACCAGGATGTCTCAAGGAAAAACTCTAGAGTGGCTCCTTGGAGCAGGAAGAGCTGCTACGCTCCCAATGCCCTCTGAGAGCTGCCAGCTCCCATGATGCCTTCTCTTGTGTGTAGACTGAGATGTATTATTAAAGGTAAGAGGTTGATTTTCCGTTTGTGCTCCCTTAATAAAAAAAAAAAAAAGAAAGATTTGGTGGGAAAGGCAGATGAAATTCTTGAAGTGGGGCTACTTCACAGCAGGTCTTTCTGAGCCCCCTTGAGGCACACCGTGTGTGTGTGCGTGTGTGTGTGTGTGAGAGACTGGGGCCCCAGAATCTGTAATTTTAAACGACAATCCAGATGATGCTGATGTAGTTACATTTGAGAACCAGGGGTAGGTATATCTTTGCTACTCAAAGTGTAGTTCTCAGGCAAACAGCATCAGCCTCACCTGGGAGTTTTTAAGCAATGCAGAATCTCAGGCCCCAGCCAGACCTACTAAATAGGAATTTGCATTTTAACAACATCTCTAGGTGATTGGTATATACACTAAATGTAAGAATCCCTGTTTTATTAATGACTGCTCTGGGACACAAGCTTAAACCTGGGCAACCTGGACCTATGGTCACCCATCCTATCAGGGAGATGGAATGTGGTGGGCTAGGTAGATGGTGAAAAGAAATATGAGCAGCCACACATCTGGGGTCCTCTCCCTCCAAAACTGGGCCATGATTTAGGAATATGGTCTCAAGAGCCTATCTTTCTGTCCCCAGTTTTCACTGTAGACAACTTTCTAGTAATTGAACTGTCTGTTCTGCCTGCTATTTCCCTTTGTTATTATCGTAATCATCAGTGGTTGCTGGAAGTGGGGCAGGGTGTGTTTACAGGAGCAGGGGTGTATGTTAATGAGCCCACAGGTCTGGTGTGATGGAGAAATCCCTGCATCTGTAACAACTCTGTGCCTTTATTTCTTGCTCACCTGCACACCCACCACCCCATGAAGAGGCTTCCCCCGGCCCCCTGCCCAGTAACCTACTTACTATGAATATTCTGTTTCTACATCCTGTTTCTGCTTTTATTAGTTCTTGATATTTTGACTTTGCATCCTATTCCAGACCCTTAGCCTGTCCCCTAGCCTCTAATCTGCCTCAAACATGTCTTAAACCGCTCTATAAAAGACTGTTCTTCATCACTGTATCTCCAGTGCCCAGGACAGTGCCTGGTGTGTATCATACAATCAACATTTGTGGAAGGAAGGGAGGGAGGGAAGGAGGGAGGGAAGGGAAGGGAAGAAATACATTGTTTTGAACCATCTCTTGGGCTCCACCCTTCAACCACAGAGCCACCTCAAACCCAGCCCTGAGGTTGCTCAACACCTCTGGGCACCACAAATTCCTGCCTCACAGCACCCCCCAGCCCCCACCCTATATCTGAAGCCCTCCCTATATTATCCCTGCCTCTTAGGGGCAGCCAGCCAGACCAAGAAACCCTTCTTTATCTTGTCTGCAGTATAATATATATAAAGTTCATCCAAGCTTTCTACCTAGAAAACACACACACATCCTGAAGCTTTATAATTTACACGGCAATGATAAAAACATTGAAGGAATTTAAATAGATGGATGTGGCACAGCCTCATTTCTCCTGATGTTTTACAGACTGCCACACTATGCCACCTGCCTCCCACAATGGCTGTAAGGTCAGAACCTGGTACACACCCTTCTTCCAAGCTACTCATGCTGCCTCCTCAGCATAAATATAGGATTTTCCCTTTTCTATTCCTTTTAAGAGAAAAAGTATAATATAGGCCAGAGGAAAAGTATAATATAGGCCACAGAGACTGACTTAAGTTTCCTGTGGTGCAGATGAGCATTTGATTATATTATGGCATTTCTCTTTTCTGTGACTGAGTGGGCCACAGTGAAATTAAGTCCCAAAATGTGTTAAAACTGTTTAGACCACCTCAGATCACAAGTTTGAGACCAGCCTGGTCAACATGGTGAAACCCCATCTTTACTAAAAAAAATATAAAAATTATTTGGGCATGGTGGAGCACACCTGTAATCCCAGCCACTTGGGAGGCTGAGGCAGGAGAATCACTTGAACCCGGGAGGCAGAGGTTGCACTGAGCTGAGATCACACTACTGCACTCCAGCCTGAGCGACAGAGCAAGACTCTCTCAAAAAAAACAAAAAACTATTTAGACCACCTGAATTATTAGAATCCTTCATTTGGTAGGCCTTTCAGAAAGCTTTCTCAGGACTGCAAAATATAAGGTAGGGAGTAATTTCATTTTATAATCCAGCAAACTGAGACAGAAGGTGACGAAGGGCATTGGAGTCATACTAATGGTTATGGCAGGATGCAGGGCACAGAGATCTTAACACGCTTTGCTTTTTCCACTATACCACATGCCATCTCCTGAATTGAACATCTTGATCTTCTTTATTATAAAATGACTCAAATAAAATATGTCTATATATTTTCTTATTTCACACTTTTTTTTGGCCACTCTAGAAGTGTAAGCATTTTTCAGACATTCACAATGGGAAGTTTGAATGTTAAAGCTGGAGAGATTGTGGTTAATAGCTTGAATTTTAGAGTGAGGAAAACCTGTCTGTACTCAGGCAAGGTAATTGATATGGTTTGGATCTGTCCCCACCAAATCTCATGTCTCAATGTAATCCCCAGTGTTGGAAGTGGGGCCTGGTGGGAGGTGACTGGATTATGGGGGTGGTCCTTCATGAATGATTTAGCACCATCTCCTAGTACTATTCTCATGCTGGTGAGTGAGTTCTCAAAAGATCTGGTTGTTTACAAGTGTGCAGTATCTCCTTGCTTCTGTCTCTCTTGCCCTTGCTCCAACCATGTAAGACAGGTCTGCTTCCCCTTTGCCTTCAGCCATGATTGTAAGTTACCTCAGGCTTCCCTAGAAGCCAAGCAGATGCCAGCATCATGCTTCCTGTACAGCCTGTAGAACCATGAGCCAATTAAACATTTTTTTCTTTGTAAATTACCCAGTTTCAGGTATTTCTTTATAGCAGAATGGGAATGGACTAACACAGTAATTAATGTAAGTTTCCTGACAGGTAGATAGAAATTACTAATATGGCCCCCAGTGGCACACATTCCAAGGAATTAAATGAGATGATGTATGATAAGCACTTGGCAGAGTGCCTGGCACATAGTAAGCACTAAATAAATGTTAGTTGTAGTAACTGTTACTAAAACTATTATGTGAGTCCCTCAGTTTCCCTGACAAGTCCTCCTTGTTTTGTGACCAGCAATACTTGACCTTTAGGGCCAAGATCCAGGCAATTTTTGTCTGTTTTTTTCATGACCTATTTTCTAGCTATAGATTCTAGTTTCAGGATTGCAACCACATCCCTTTAGTCTTTGCATTTATTTCAGACATGACATTTAAACAAATTTTAGTTGATTTTCTGAAGATAATATTAAGTCACCGAACAGACCCCCTACATGCTCTTATAATCTGGTAACTCAGTTCTAAAATGC